CGCGCAGCCGGCCGGAGTCACGGCAGGGAAAACGGGGACGGAGTTTGCGTTCGTGGCATTTTAATGAGCCTTAAAGGTTATTTCTGTGCAGATCCGGTGACAATTCCCGTCCTCTGTGTTCGCAGGAAGCTGGTGCCTCTGGTCTGGTCCCGTTGGGCGCTGTCTGGGCGCGCGGCTGGTGAGGAGCGTCCGCAGAGCTGCGTTGTCAGCAGGGTGGTCGGGGTTTGCAGGGGAGAAGTGACAACGGGAAAGTCTTGCGTGCCTTTGCATTCTGCAGTGAAAGGGATCTCGTTATCCTTCCCAGGGTTTCGGCCAGCTACTTGAAAAATACTTACTACCAATATTGCAGCTCTTGGGAGAGGGTCCCCTCCGGAGAAGGGAGGGAGAAAGAACTGGATGTGCAAAAACAGAGTAGGAGGAAACGGCTACAGTGGCAAAACCAGCTGAGAACCTGCCCCACCGCTTTTCCAGCACAAGCGGAGTGCCCAAGCCAAATCCTGGAGCCTCCTTCGTCCCTCCAGCCCTCCGCTTGTTCCCTTCCAACGGCAGGGGGACACGTTGAGGCAATTGGTGGTGCGTGGGGGTCCCACCCAGCCCAGCCCCACAGGAGCCAGCCTTTCACGTTCCCGTTGCGCCAACACCAGGTCTCCCGACTCATCCCTGGCACAGCGCCGCAGATGCTGGGAGCTTTGCTGAGGGTGCAGAGGCCGTTGCCTCCTGTGCCTTTGCAGCCCCCTCGGGCAGACAGGCCCCGTGTCACAGAAGCACAGAGTAGGGGCCTCTGGAGATCACCCAGTCCAGCCCCCTGCCCAGGTAGGGTCAGCTGGAGCGGGCTGCCCGGGGCTCTGTCTAGCTGGGTTTTAAACGGCTCCGGCCCAGGGTAAGAGGAAGGCACAGGTAGGCACGGAGTGACCCTGCAGACCCGAAGGTGTGCGCCAGCCTGCTGGGGCTGTGTCTCTCTCAGTGTTGCCCTGTATTTACTCCATCACGGCAACCATTTCCACCGTGGCTACTGCAAGCTGCACCTTGGTTTCTTGTGTCTGTGGGTTAAGGATGTACACAAGCCACGTAGGAGCTGCCGCATGTTTCTGTAAGGAACCATGAGCTAGAAACCTCCACAGGGTGGGTGGGCATGGGAATGCAGAAATAGAGACAGAAAAAGGATCCTCATGCTGTTCCTTTCCTTATGCTTAAACTTCAAGTCTCTGGCCAAAAGGAAACGAGTATTCTAAGATACAGAAAAGATACAGCATAAAACCCAGGAGAAAAAAAGTTGAGACCGTACTGCTGCTGCATAGAAAGCTTCATTAGCCCCATTGGCACAGCAATAATCGGAGAAAAAAAAAGTCCGTGGGAGTGATGCAAAGGGATTGATGCCAAGGGAGGAAGTACTGCATTTGCCATCTCCTGATGTCTTCAAGTCCAGTCGAATGCCCTTCTGAAGCTGCCTTTGTCAAACAAGTTATTGAATTCAGCAGTAACATGGTGAAATTTTCTTGTCTGCAGGTACAGAAGGTCAGACTGCATGATCTCGTCCTGCTCGCTCTCTGAATCTACAGAAAGAAAACACGAAGAAGGACTAAGAGAACATGCCGTTATCTGTGTTCTTCCATAGGGACTTAACGCCCGCGTTTATCTGCAGGGGCTCCAGCTGCATTTGCTGGTTCGGTGTGCTTGTGCTGGATGGTGAAAGGTTGGTGGGAGCCACCCAGCAGCGCTCCTGGGCGATGAAGCCAGCCGCTCTCCAGCACCGCGCCGTGCAGGCTGCGTCAGCTGGGGCGCCTGGGCCTGCCCCGTGCCACGCCGGCCTCGGCAGCCCTGTGGCCGGTGTAACAGTGGCCTTTGTGCTTGCTGTGGTACCTGAAGGTGGGATCTCATAAGGAATCCTTGCAACAAGGGTGAAAGGGTGACCACATTCAGCAGGCGTGGGTGTTTTGTTTAAGGAGGCTCCGTGTCCAAGTGCAGGGCGAACGTGGGCCGTTCCTAGCGGTTCTGCCTCACCTGACCCCCAGTTTTGGTTCAGCAAAGAGCAGGCTCCTGAGCTGTTCCCACAGCCTTACGCAGCCTCTCAGGCAGGGCTGGCACTCGAGGGTAGACTTGCCTGGAAAGGACAGGGCTGCAGTGTTGTTAGGCTGATCCTAACTCATCGTTTCTTGTTTTTCAGATGTTTAGCAGCTGTCCCCGGTCTTGAAGGTACAAGACACAGCCAGGTGGTCTTAACCCTGCTAAAGTTCTGGGGCATGTGCACTTTCTTCCTTACAAGATTTCCCTTGCAGCCCCAGCTGCTGTAGCTCTGTTCCCTCCTCAGGAGTAAGGGCTTGGGGCTGTACTAGATAAAACCAGATATAGATGGAGAGATGGTTCTATGGAAACATTTGCTCAGTGCCCAGGAGCAGCCCAAAAGGCAAACTGGCTGTTAAGAATTATTAGCAAAATAATGGAGAGCAGATCACAGTTATGCCACTGAATAGATCCGTAGTGGAAACTGCATTGCAATTACCATATGGAGCTCTGGTCTGCCTCTCAAGAAAAATAGAGTTGGAAGGGTTTCAGAGAAGAGCAACAATGGTGATCAAATACAAAGAATATTTTCCATATGAGGAAAAAGTAGATAGTCTCTTTAGCCTGGAAAATAAATGACTGAAGAGGATTATAAAATCAAGTTTGGCATATAGAGGTTGCCTGCAGTATGATTTCTCATTGTCCCTTCGATATAACAACTGGCAGCTCCCCATAAATTAGCAGGTAACAACTACAAAACAAAAAACAGTTCTTTTTTTTTAATGTCATATGTTGTGTCAGGCTGCTTCGCACAGGGTATGGTGGGCTCCCAAAGTTTATATGCATTCAGAAAGAAATTAAACATTTTAATGGGAGAAAAAAATCCACTTACACTGATTAAATACAAGACCCCACTTTTGCTTCTGAAGCCTCTGAGCTGTGGATCACTGGAGACTGGCAGAGTACTCTGGGCAGTACCGCGGTATCGTGCCCTCTTCTTACACCGACCAAGAGATCCGTTCTTGGCTACTGTCAGAGATGAGACAGTGGCAGAGATGAGACAGTGAGCTAGACAGCGTTTCAGCTGGTCACAGTTTCTTTCCTTCACTGCTCCAGGCTCCTTTGCAGGGACTGATCCTGATACATCCTGCCCTGACTCAATATCAGCCTGTTCTCCTTTTCTAAGGAACTGTATCCAAAAAGCCTAGCTTAAAAATTTGCAGTGGTGGGCTGGTAACCCTGCCTCTGCCCTGCCATGTCAGGATACAGGCGAGCCCTCGTGGACTAGTCCACTTTTAAACAACCCTCACTCGGCAGTGGCAGAGCTGGCAGTAACGACAGCAGAAGCCTCTACGTCCCAGTCGCTCTCTGTGATGAGCTGCCAGGGTGTCTAGTTTGCTGCCGCGTCAGCCGGCCAACTTCAGTGCCAAAACCTGCGCTCGGCTCTCATGAGGAGCCCTCGAGCTGGGTCGACGGCACTTGTCCTCCTGCAAGTCAGGGAGCGCCTCTGCCTGCGGCGCAAGCGGCGCTGCAGGCCCAGGGAACCGGCGCCCCGTGGCTTGCAGAGCGCTAAGGCTCCCTGGGGCATTAGGGGCTGCCCAGCGACCTCCTAAGGGGACTCAGCCGCGCCAGGGGAGTCTCGGAGAAGCAAGGGACTGCGGCCCCCAGCCGGGAAGTCAGCTCCCACCTCTGTGACACACGGGCTCCTGCTCAGCCTGGTGAATCTGGAACCTGGGGTCCTGTCTGAGGCAGCCTCGCCTTGTGCTGCATGCCTCCAGAGGGCAGAAAGCAGGGGACACAATGCCGGTCTGCTGCTGCTCCCCAGCGGGAAGGTGGGGGTCCCAGAGGCGCCTTGGTTTGACCCAGGCAATGGAGCTGAGGGGTGTCTCAGCCAGCGCGCGGCTGAGTTCTGTCCTGTGGGGCAGGTCAGAGCGCAAGGCACGGTGCTGGAGCAATGGCGGGGAGGGGTGGCGTGTAAAGAGACACCAGCAGAGAAACTGCTGTAGCTCCCAGGGCTGTGTGCAGCAGCAGCTCTGTTTACACATGCACTGTTGTCAGTTATAGCATATGGGCAGTTTTCTAGGAAGTGTTTGACCATTAATGTCTGGTGAGACTTCTTTTCCTTTCTTTTTTTTTCAGAGTACATAAACCAGTTTACAGCCATCTCTATCATATCCAACTTTTGCTGTCACAGGATGACAAGCGCTTGCCGTGGTATCCGTGGGAGATCATCCATCCAAGCGCTGCCTTCCGACATAGCACTAATCACAGCCCCGGATCCCCCAGCCCTGCAGAGATTGCTCCGGCAGTCGGAGCAGCTCTTCCTCCATCTGGGCTCTGCAGCTAGTAGCGATCGCTGTCAGCCCTTTCCCTGCTCTCCTGTACCTCTCCACACCAGCAGCGGCTCCTACCTTCCCAGGGCTACATGGTCAGATGAGGGAGTAGGGCAGAGCCTGCTCAATTGTCCCAGCCAGTGCGAGTCTACACGGTTCCCACGGGAGCCCAGGATAGGGCTTCGAAAGGGGAAACATGGGACCTGTCCCGAAGAGCACTCAGCCATATCACACATAGCACGTGAGGCCAGTAGTGAGGAGACAGAGTGCTGGAAGACGCAGGCAGAGCTGTACGGCCACACACTGATGTGGCCCCCTGCACACACCTGGATTGCTCACTTGGGAGTTTCGAGGTGACTGCGGAGCTTTGCCTGCCATCAGCAGGATGAGGGTTGGCTCAGCCATGAGTCCAGTCGTCTTCATCATCACGCTCGTTGCCCTGAGTCTGCCCTCCAGCCCCACTGAGCTCAGGAAGCTCTCATTTGCATTCCAGCCAGCTCGAAGAAGAGATACGCAGCATGGGCAAAGGGAGACCCTCGCAGCCACTCCAGCTCCCGGGCCGCTGGCTCCCGTAGACTGCTATGCCAAGTCCTGCTCCAACAGCGTTTGCTGCTTTGAGCTTTAATCTGCTTCTAACACTAGCAACTATTTGGTGGTTTTCCAGCAGACTGTGGGTTTACCAGATCTGTGCAAGCATGCTACCCCTCTCTTGGTCAAATGGAGTGCTGGCTTTGGCCACAGCAGCCGGTGTCTGTCAGGAGCTGGTATAAGAACCTACAAGAAGCTGAGGAGAGCAAGATGGATCACAGTGGCTTCCTTGTGGGTGCAAAATTGCGCTGTTATT